ATATTTGCCGTATCATTAGCTGTATCTGTGAGAAGATTATTTTATAACATTTTCTGTTACTACTGGATTTAAACGGCGTAAGTACACCATCTTGTTTCTAGAGGCCTAAGGGACCATTTAAGCAGGCCACGACTCCATGATATTTGAACACATGCAATGCATGGATGCAAAACCGCATCCCTGCATAGGGCCAAATAAAATCCTTCTCGGACTCTTGCCCATATGTCACTATCCATAGGCAGACTTATACATAAAGATAAGCACCGTTCTTTACTCGGTTTACTAGCAAATTGCGATCTTTAGAAGCAAGAGGACGGTGCCCCTACGCCGTGTAAATCCGTCAGTAACAGAAAATGCTATTTTCTTACCGGCGGTATTGAAAACTAGCAGTTTCTCTGGTAAACATGTAAGATCGGTGTTGATTTTTACGTTGAAATGTATTAATATTATTTATGTAATCATATTCATTAGTTGCGTATTCATATACTGTTGTATTTGAATTGTTGAAGTATGTTTCTTACGTTGACTACGCCAAAATCCTCACAGTAAAATCATTTATGGGAACCTACAACAGAGAAACTGGAAGTGCTTCGACTTGCTTTTTTTGTGCGCCGATAAATGATAGAATAAATTACCAAAGTCGAAGACATGAGGGTTGCCAGTGCCTCGCGCCTCGCAGCTGCGAAGCACTACTTTGTCATTCATGTCAGAGGCGTTAACGTATAAAACATGTCGTCTGTTTGTTGCATTCTGACATCTTCTTGGCAGAAAACGTTATTCATTGCTTATATTATTGGTTCATGAGTAAGCGACGATAAGATTGTTTCCGTTAACTTTTCGTCTGTCTATCATTCATCGAAAATCGCCTAAACATGGTATGTAATGTTAAATTGGCCCTTTTAGGCATGTACGACGGCCCCCCTGACAATCCGTTTCTCAACTTCCGCACGGAATACATTCCTCAGCAGTCGTCTCCATTTTACAATGAATTACCTCTCCACATGTTCGATGTCCCAACTGCTGCCGGAAGCCCCGAAACCATCAGTCGCAATGTGTTCGAGAAAATGCCGAGAACCGAAGCACATGTCAGCCCCGTTTTGCCCGGTAACAATCACCATCGACGGCCAGGTAAGAAATTGACTTCTTCAGTCTCTGTGCGTTCGTGCTATAGGTAAATTTCGTATTATGACTTGCCAGTAGGCAAAGGCAGATCATCCTGATTTGGCAGCACATGTCGGTCAGGATTTTTTGAATTGCAAGTCTCTCAAAGACGTTCCTGATTCAAAAAAAGAATTCAAAGAAGAGAAAACGTTCGAGGACCGCCAAGAAACGTTTTGCTTTAAATTCAATGTTGTTTTCGTTGTTTCTTTTTGTTCACAGAGGTTACTGTTGAAAGACGTTGAGTTCAAGCTCCAATCGTATCGTTTGCCTTTCATCTTCTGAGGTACACAAACGAATATTACCATGTTGTGAAGAAGCAGATGGCTGCACACTGTAATTACTAAATAGCGATGGCGTGGTGACGGTTCCTAAAAGGTCTGCTTCGAGCTCTTGAGGTGCCGTGTTCGATCCCGGCAGAACGAATTCCTGGTTTTAATCACCAGTTCCCTTGAGCAAGGAATATACCGCAGATTGCTACCGAACTTAACCAGTCGATAGGGCGTATGACTCAGAAGGGCTGAAAGGTCTCGGTTTCGAGCGTCAGTTGGGGCTACTTGTCTTTCTTCCTTCAGAGGCTGATAAATGAGTACCACTCTGTGCGGAGGAAACGTGAGATTACACATTATGCTTGCCACTTTGCTACTGTCAACTGTGCTTTTAAAATAAGGCACGCTTAGCTGATTGCATTAAAACGAAAATCAGCGTCTCATTATTAACAGCATGAAGAGAAGCACGTCCGTAATGGCCCCATCATGAAAGTGTAAGGAGTAGTGACACTGTGATTGTTACAAACTTTCCTTTAAGGTAAAACAGATATGATAGATGACGTATAAATGAGATCAACACGCAATGTAAGCCCCATGAAAAGACAATTGCCAGCAATTTTGCCAATTATGAACGTGTAAGGAAGACAGACATCTTCAAACTTTCTTTGCCCTATAGTGTAGCTAACATTAACTTGAAAGATTTGCAGCAAATGAGAATTCTGTCTCACATATACATTCAGAACCTAAGTCCAAGTACTAAGGATGAGTATTGTATTGCAAGGGGCCTGAGCCGGAGTATATTTTTTAATTTACATACATATTCATGCTTTAATAGTATACTGTGTAACTAGCAATACTGGGCTTCCATGACTGGTCCTATTCGCTGAGGTTAGAATAGCAAAGTTGATGCTGAACTGAGCTACCAGTCAAGATTTCGCAGATTCGAATTCCGGCCGGATCCATTGCCCTTCACCGTTCCGCGGTAGATAAAAGAGTACCGCGTCTGGAGAGGAAACAAGGGAACACACGTTGGCTTGCCACATACCTGTAGGTATTATCTTCACAGGTATAATGTACCTAGTTGGTGGCATCGATGCCTAGAATAGCACTGTGCCATAAGCTTCGCGAAGAAAGATGCCACATATGGCATAAGTCATAATAGCATAAGAGCTGTGGACATTCCCAACAGTTGCAGACAATTTTCTTTCCCTCTTTGCTCCATTATTTTCTCCTTCATTTTATTTTTATTGCGCTATTGTTACTAAAGGTATAGAATCTGTTATACTACCTACTATCCTTTTATGAACTTAATTTGCAGGATTTGAAGATTTTAGCTTGTGTATGTGCAG